TGCAGATGAGCTGAAGGCCACTGTCAAAGAAACCTGGGCTTCCATACCACCTCAGCAGTGCCACAAACTGATCACCTCAATGCATAGGCGTAATTTGCGGGTGGGATGGGTGGGACATGTCCCCACCACTTTTTGCTAGGGTCGATATTGTCCCTACCAATTTTTGAAAGTAATTGAAAAATATATTGCGGAAGGTATGTATGAAAGGGAAAACAAGATCAACAAATCATTCTTCATAATCTAATTAGGGTGATAAAAAAAACAAAAAAAAAAACAACAACAACATTTGACTCCTTACGCATGCAAAACTTATGAACGTGTCGGGGGAAAAGAAGAAATTTTCATTATTTATTAATAAACTAGTGCTTTCTGAGTGTCGGGTGCAAAGATGAGGTTGCCGAATGCCGACGCTGACTCGCCATCTCCACGTGGACGTGCCTTTAATAGAAATGCACCTTTTCATACGGACTACAAAATTAAAGAATATTACAAAATCAAGTGGGCGAGTTTTCCTTATATTTATTTTATTTTTCATATAAAAATTATAATGACCTGTTTTGGTTATATTTACTATTAATTGCAGAAGGTGCGCTCAGCAAAACTCACGTTATGCTATGGAGGCTCTCCTTTTTTTTTTATTCCTGTGTTTGCTAAACGTTTTGTAATTTATTAGTCATTATATAGCCTAATACAGCGTGTAGGCCTATGCCATGCCTCATCTTATTCGTTTTTGTTAACGTTTTGTAAGCTAGTTTGTCATTGAATATTGTTTTATTGTTGTTGTGCATTTTAATTAAAAATAATGAATCCATCTTTTTTTTTTTGTCTTAAAAGGTGAAAGGTGTATAGATGTAAGCAAAACAGACAATTATATTTTATTGTAAAACCTGACAAGATCGTGAAATCGAAAGTGAAAGCATCCGAAGCCCGGCATATAACATGTCAAAAGAGGAACTCCCATTCACAAAATTCAAATCACAAATAATACTACTGATGAAAAAGAACGGGTTGAATGTTACCTACTTCCGTTTCCATATAATTATAAACTATGATAAAAGTTCATTAGCATGCATTGATTAATAGCATGTTGTAGCGCAAAAAAAACAAAAAAACAACAACTGAGTGTAACCAACTTGTGCAACCAACTGAGAAAGTTAATGGCAAAAGAGCGACCAGTGGGAAGAATGAGTCTGGAGCCCTGAATTGCCCAGCTCCCTCTGTCAATGATCTAGCACACCCTTGGCACCTGCGTTCAAAATTCTCTGGCGCCGCCCCTGGTACATCGATGTATTTTTGAAAAGCAAAAATTAAGTTTGTCCAACTCTAAACCCAGTCCCCAAGTAAATTAGGTTATTAAATAAAAAACTAGCAAAACGAGTTGCGCGGTGTCCCCACCACTTTTCAAAGCAAAGTTACGCCACTGCCTCAATGCCACGCCGAATTGAGGCAGTAATTAAAGCAAAAGGAGCCCCTACCAAGTATTGAGTACATGTACAGTAAATGAACATACTTTCCAGAAGGCCAACAATTCACTAAAAAAAAATTTTCTATTGGTCTTATGAAGCAATTTGATTTGTTGAGAGTGAATTGGTGGGTTTTTCCATGACATTCTAATTTATTGAGATGCACCTGTAAGTACAGTCACAGGTTTTCATTGCAAAAACTGACCATTCAAAAGCAGTATAAAAGCATTACAAACAAGTCGTGTTGCATTCCAAGTCTTCTGAAGCCTTAAGGTTTTAATCACTGAAAATGATCCCGCAATCATCAGGAGACACACAAGACACACATTTCACAACCAAGGCTGACATAAGGCTTCTTCTGGTGGCATTTTTTTAATTTGCGCACAGACTGCAGCACACAGGATGAGCTTTACGGCGGACTGAGATGGCAGTCACATCTATTCCTCTCACAAATCAATCGTTTTGCCTAGGAAGACTTGGAATATTAATACTTGTTGAATAAATTATGACTGTAGTGGTATCTGCCTGTTATATCTTGTGTTTTATTGACAAATGGTAGGTTTAGGGGTTGGGTTACATGCTCATAAATGTGTAAATACACAAATAAAAATGTTGTGACTGTTGACATTGAAAAATCACACCCCAACATATATGCAATAATGGCAATATTATTACCCAATATATAATTTAATCATGACAATACAATTCCCAGTGCCTTTCGCATCGGCATATTGATGCCAAGGGTTTCTTATTTAAAGCAATGGAGGACCCTACACGTCGAAAAAATGATGCTAAATGAATACCCTGTTTGTCAAAAAGTGATGCCAAAGGGTCCTGACCAAGCGTCAATATTTGACGAGTTGGGAGTGAGAATGTATTGGCAGTGCGGTGTGGTGTGCAGTGACCTTGACCCCTCCCTATGTATAGAAGCACTATCACTGCTGGCTAATGCAGTCGGATGTTGTTGTGTGTGAGTTTTAGCATGTGTTCCTGTGGGTGTGGGTGTGTGCATGCATGTGAAAGCAACCGGATGTCTTTAAGTAAATGGTGAATAAAGCCCTCGCTCTGAGAGCTCACTTCAGTGCTTATTCTTCAGTGCTAATAGATGCTCTAATGGACTGTTTCTGAAAAAGGCATGCTACATGTTGGTTTTGAACTAGAGAGCTCGCTCTCTCATAAACTTTTGTCTGTCAGTAAGACCCACTGATACACTCTAAGAAAGAAATGTATTAATGTGATACACAAATGTGCCTTAGTGTTGTTCAGTGCAGAAAAAGGATCTGTATGGGAACATGTTCCTCAGATCCAAAACAAACTACCGAATAATACGGTTCCCACAGACACGGAGCACCTGGAAATATCAGTGACATTTGGAATTGTCATTTCCAGGCCTGCAAACGTCATGGAACTTTAAATATCATTTGTTTAGCTCTAAAATATTTAATTAACTATATACAGTGCCTTTCAAAAGTTTGGGATCTGTAAGATTTTTTATGTTTTTTTAAAGAAATTGCTTATGCTCATCGAGGCTGCATTTATTTAATCAAAAATACAGAAAAAAAAATAATTTTGTGAAATATTATTGCAATTTAAAATAACAGTTTTATATTTTAATATACTTTAAAATATTATTTATTCCTGTGAAGCAAAGCTGAATTTTCAGCATCATTACTCCAGTCTTCAGTGTCACATGATCCTTCAGAAATCATTATAATACTTAATAATAAAAAAAAAAAACATTTTGGGACCTGTGGTACATTTTTTCAGGACGCTTTGATAAATAAAAAGTTAAAAAGAACAGTGTTAATTCAAAATAGGATCATGTGACACTGAAGACTGAAGTAATGGCTGATAAAAATGTAATGCTGCATCACAGAAATAAATTATATTTTAAAGAATATTAAAATAGGAAACCAATATTAGAAATTGCAATAACATTTCACAGTATTGCTGTTTGTTTGTTTGTTTTTCTTTTCCTCTTTATTTTTGATCAAATAAATACAGCCTTGGTGAGCATAAAAGAGACTGCATTAAAAAAAAAAACATTAAAAACCTTACTGATCCCAAACTTTTGAATGGCAGTGTATATTATACAGATGTTTATGGCATTAAATAGATAAAATGCAATACATATTTATATTTGAAAGTGTGTGTGTGTGTTGGATAGATACTGTAGATAGATAGATAGATAGATAGACAGACAGACAGACAGACAGACAGACAGACAGACAGACAGATATTATACTTTAATTATTTTCATTGATTGGTGCATAACATACAAATGGAAATTTTCACAGATATCTCTATAATACATCTGTAATACATCTCTTTGTACAGTAGTCAATGTAAATGACTGTCCTGAAAAAAATTATGGCAATTGATTAGATTAAAGAAAAATGGATGGAATCAACATACCCATCAGAAGAGCAATTGTTGTTGCTAGCAAATGATGTTTGTTAGTGGAACTGCAGAAAATTGTTAAATTGGATATGCAAAATTATGTTTACATTTTTTAGGTAACCCAAGACATGATTTGTTTTAAATCAGAATGATCTAATTTGGTTAATAATCTCTCCTGGAATCCAGTTGTGTTCCAGTCCGATTTAATGGGATGTGTGTGTCACAGGGGTCACCAGGAGAGAGAGGAGCAGCTGGACCCGGAGGACCCATTGGTCTAACAGGACGCAATGGCCCTCAAGGACCCCCGGGACCTGCTGGAGAGAAGGGTGCTCCGGTGAGTGCGCATTGTTTCGAGATCAAAAAAAAAATGCTGATGTTATCTTGTACACTGTCCAAAAGAATAAGAAAAAGAAATAATGTGAATTCAAGTAAACTGGGCCACTTTTTGTTGAGATGAATAGCAAAACATGGCCTAATTTACCCGAATTCACCCTAAAGAAAGTAAAATAGTGACTGTGCTTTTATCAGATGCTTGGATACATTAAGCGTTGCACTAATGTCTGGAGATTCCTGTGGGAAACAAAAGGGGCCAGAGGAAAAGAGTTTTGGTTCATTCAAATTCATCTTTTCAAAAAACACATCTAGCAGAAATAGCTTATCTAGTTTAATGCAGCATCCAAACAGAAACTCAATTCAGTTCATTTAGACTTTTACAGCACACAGTTAAAGCTGAAATGAATTAGTTGACTGAAAGGTTCTATAATAATACTGAACATATTCCTCTGCATAGTGTATAAATGCTGTTAATTAATTGCAGTGGCTCTGCCATTAGCTTTGTTTGCTCAGCCTGTCTGTATTAACCAGATTAAAGTATTCCTCATTGGATGTAACAGTTTCTTAATCAGCACTTTCAGACATGTGTGTAAACTGTTATTTCTTAACTTCATGCAGGGTGAGAAAGGACCTGCTGGTCCTGCCGGCCGGGATGGCATCCAAGGTCCAGTTGGACTCCCAGGCCCAGCCGGACCTCAGGGTCAACCTGGAGAGGATGGTGACAAGGTGCAGCACTTTATTCTAATCTCTACAGCATGACGTTTTAATTCACAGACATCATGCCCATCTCACATCTGCACACCATTAGTGACAATGCGGACAGAGTTTTGACTTATCCATCACCATAACCAAACAAGACACAAAATCATTACTGTAGTGAAATGTTGAAACCAGTGAAATCGAGGCACATACACCAAGTAAACAAACGTGCTTTGAGGCTAATGTATTCCAGAATCTATTATCGCCCTGTTAAATGTAGAATAGTGCTTTTTTAGATCCTTATCACGTCCCAAGCCACATTATTCTTTTCGGCTGTGGCGGCAATGGTGTTGGAGGAGCCAAGTAATCAATTAATTGCAAAAACATCCCAAGGTCTTGGTTTTACTGTTAAATTAAAATCTCTAGAGTAAAGTTTACTCTGCTGTTGATGCTGAAGTGACCTTGAGAAAATTTTGATGACCAGGCAACTAGGGAAAAGTTGTAAACAGCTTGAAGTTTCTTGATTTTCAAAAACTTTTTTTTTTTTTTTTCCAGGGAGAAGTTGGAGAACCTGGTCAAAAGGGAAGCAAGGGTGACAAAGGCGAACATGTAAGTTGAACAGTATTTATTATAAATAAAACATTCAAAATAATAATTATTATATATTTAACTGGTAACACTTATAACACCTTATAATAAGTTCCCATTAGTTGAATGCTTTGACTTGTTGTACTTATAAATCAGTCATATGCCACTGTTGCTACATTTTATATATAATATATTTGTTACAGTATTTATCAGTATTTGTTAACATTATTAAAAATACAACTGTTTATGTTCATGTTAGCTCAGGTCCATCAAATAATAATTTTAACAGAAAAAAAAATCTACTTTTGGTTTTAATAGTGTATTAGTAAATGTTGAAATGACCAAGATAACTAAGATTAATAAATGATTTAAAAGTATTTTCATTGTTAGTTTATGTTAACTATTGTGTGTTAACTAAATTGAACCTTATTGTAAAGTGTTACCATTTATTTTATGTATAATTTAATGTTAATTATAAATATTTGTTTACCTTTTTGCTGTATTTATACTCACTTATGCCTATTTTTACACAAACAAATGCTATCTTTGCCACTTCAAATGTTCATATGAGATCTAGTTTCTTCACAACCAGTCTCTAAAGTTGTCCCGGTTGTCTTTTGCTGTAGGGTCCACCAGGTCCAGTAGGTCCTCAGGGTGTAATTGGAGCTCCAGGTCCTGCTGTGAGTACTTACAACCTTCCATTTGAGCCGTATAGGATGAAACCCAAATGATCACCTCTTTTTTCCATTCGTCCTGGAGTAGTTGTCACACAAATATATCATTTTTATTACTCACACATAAAAAGTATCTTCACTGCTAAAGCTTTCTTAGCCTAACTTCATTGTTTCTTTTTGCACAGGGTGTTGTGGATTAGTGGTTAGTGATCTGGGTTGTTAGTTAAAAGGATGTAGGTTTAAATCTTTCAAAGGGTGATGCATTAACCTTAAAACAATATTTAAACGAATGTTTTATGTTTGCAAGGCATAAAAACATTTGCATGTGGCCAGATCATTAGAACACTATAACTGCTGGCCTGGTAGGGAAAGTGACAGCTATGTCAACTGGACAAAAATGTCTTGCATTGGGCCATCTTGATTGTTTGGTCTTCATTGTTCCTTGTGTTAAGTTGCACTATAAGTTGCTTTGGATAAAAGTGTCTCACATTTGCTCAGTTTTGCCTCTGTCAGGCAGCCTGCTGAGTTGATAAAGCAGCAGTGAGAGTAAGTAGTCAGGGCCAGGTGGCACACAGTTGAATATTTAAAGTTTATGACTCAAGCTGAACACTCCCAGCTGGGCCTCTCTGTTTCCTTGATACATTAGCTCTATAAAAGCTGATAATTACACCTATTCTGTGCAGTTATATGAAGAACATTCTTGGAAACTGTAGAATGATTTCTGAAGGATCATGTGACTCTGAAGACTGGAGTATTGTTAATTTTACATTTTTAAATTTAATAGTATTTCACAACATTGTTGTTTTTACTGTATTTTTTATTTTTCTGTGATTTGTTTGAGTCTAATAAATACAGCCTTGGTGAAAACCATTAAAAAATCTTACCGACCACAAATTGGTACTGTAGCTGTCTCTGCGTATTAAGAAACTATTATAACATCAAAAAACATTACACCCTTCACCTTTATGGGAATAATGAGGGGGTGATTTTCAAATGGCAACAGAGGCAGCTACTCAACACAGCAATATTACAGAGTCACTCAGAGCATTTGACTGGTAATCAAAGGTAATAGGAATAGTGATTCATCCCAACTGTGCTAACTACGTCTCCTTGTTAGTACCGCTCACTGATCCTCCGCGATAATGATTTTTGATCCAAAGAAATTAACCATCTTAATTTGTTTTCTCTCAAGTTTTGAATAACTTGCTAAAGAGAATTAATTGGACTTTATTAGAATGGAGACTTTTCATTATCTTTTCAAAACCCACTGTAAAGATAACGTATAAGCTGTTTTGGCAGTTGGAGAAATTGTTTCCCTCAAAATGGCTGTGAAATATCACTTCTGTCCTTTTATAGTAACACAACATTTATCACAACAATAAGCAGTAAAATATGCATTAGCGGGTACCAACGAGCATGTCTGCTAAACACAATGACCCACAATAGCCTTGTAATTACAGATGTTGACTATGAACAATGGAAAGACGTCTGTTGGTATTGTTTGGTGATAATGATCTGACTAACACTCAAACCTCTTTAGTCAAGCACAATTATATTGCAAAATGAATTGCTTGCCAAGCTTTGCCTCTTTTTGTGTTTCATATTTTCAAAGTGACACCGGGTGTGACACATTTGCAGGGACCCAAATGCAAATGTGTTAATTGCCATGAGGTTCCTTCTACTGCTAATTACCAAAAATTGTTATTTGATTAATAGTGTTTATCCGATGGCTCAGAGCTGTAAATGTATAATATTAATATTCAACACTGCGAGACTGATTGTTATTCTAAATTGTCACGTTGTTCATGGGGTAAGAGGAAACATTAACGCATCCTCTCTTGTTACTAAAGGTTTTAGCATTTTTAAAATTGTAATAGGACAACTCTTATGTAAACTGGAGTTGTGCCTGATTAATATGCAAAACTTGTTTTCCTCTAGGGTTTGCCAGGACCACCAGGTGAGAAAGGAGAGAATGGAGACGTCGGCCCAATGGTGAGTTTGTAGTATCCTTGTCAGTGGTGGACGAAGTACACAAATCAAGTACTTGAGTAAAAGTACAGATCCGTATAATAAAATATCACTCCAGTAAAAGTAAAAGTACTCAGTTTTCAATTTTACTCGAGTGAAAGTACAAAAGTACTTGATTTTTTATGTACTTAAGTAAAAAGTACCGATAGATGAATGTTTATTTTGCAGTTTTATATAGGCTACTTTTATCATTTAATTTTATATTAGCATATATTTTTGAGTTGTCGACTCGAGAACAGCTGCAATCGGATCATTCCAATTCGCGAATGAATCGTTTGGTGCGATTCGCGTTCATTGAAAATATTCAGTTCGTTAATGAATCAGACACCGCTTCTGCGTGTCAGAGCACGTGATATATTATAAGGAGTAACGATAAGTTTTATGAAATGTAGTGAAGTAAAAAGTACGATCTTATGCTTTGGAATGTTGTGAAGTAAAAGTAAAAATTACTCAAAATAAAACTACTCCAGTGAAGTACAGTTACTTGAAAAATGTAGCCTACTTAAGTACAGTAACGAAGTAAAACTACTTTGTTACTGTCCACCACTGATCCTTGTTGTCAAAATGCAGTTTACTATATTTTTGTCATAATTAGTCTCAACTATGTACTAAACATGCATGCTTTCTTTATTTAAAAAATACAATTACAACAAAAGTTTGCGAATGCACTGTATATCTTTTGAGGTAAGGTGCAGTCACATCTACTGTTGCTTGTTAAACAATTTTCTTGTGGAATCTAGTAATTTCAGTTGGAATTCATGGAAACTGGGAATTCACTCGTGTTCAAGTTGTTTGTGCAAATTCACCACATTGACCAACAAAAAAATGACGACTTCTGCTTCATGCATTGCTACAATATTGACATTGGACATTCAAGCTTTTTTGCCTGTGATTTTGCAGAAATTTCACTAATGTGACCACACCTTCATATTATTAGTGCTAGTGCCACTGATTCACAAACAAAAGATGTGCAGATTCTTGTAATAAATAGGTCAGAATGATTAACCAACATATGGTTTGAATGCATCCGTTGAATCTTCCAGAGTTTAGTATCTTAATTGTTTGACAAGCTGGTGTTTTTTTTTCTTACAGGGTCCACCTGGTCCTCCTGGTCCCAGAGGTCCTCAAGGTCCTAGTGGAGCGGATGTGAGTTTAACTGTGCCATATTTGTATAGAAACTCCATCAGAAATATTTGAATCAGCAGTATTGTTATTTGATTGACAGGGTGCTCCTGGCCCTACCGGAGGTATCGGCGCAATGGGTGGAAATGGTGAAAAGGTGGGTATTTCTCGAATAAATCTCTGTAAAAACGTGAATGTACACAAATATGTATTGTAGTTATTATGATGAATGTGTATAGATGTTACAGTGTAATCAAGACTAGGTAAAACTTCATCTCTTCCCCTCAGGGTGAGACCGGTGAGGCAGGTAATCCAGGACCACCAGGAGAACCTGGTTCAGTAGTAAGTATTTGTTTGTGTTTAAGAGTTGTTGAGTCTGGTTTTATGAGTGTTTACCAGACGTATCTGGCCTGCGTGTAATTGAGGCTAATCTATTGACATTCAAGGAGCATAACTACACAAATCCTTGTTTTTAACTCGGAACACATAAAGCTAATGACCTCTAAAGAGATAGTTCACCCAAAAATGAAAATTCCGTCATTAAATACTCATACCCTCATACTCAATACCCTCATGTCGTTCCAAACCCGTAAGACCTTCGTTCATATTCGGAACACAAATTAAGCTATTTTGATGAAATCCAAGAGTTTTCTGACCCTGCATAGACAGCAACGGAACTACCACGTTCAAGGCCCAGAAAGGTAGTAAGGACATCGATAAAATAGTCCATGTGACATCAGTGGTACAACCATAATTTTATGACGCTACAAGAATGCTTTTTGTGCACAAAGAAAACAAAAAAACGACTTTATTCAAGAATTCTCCACTCTGCATTCACAAGAGTACCACGTGTTATTAGCACAGGCAGGTGAAGGCCGCTACAGTCCTTTGCAGTTGATTATTTTACCTCCCTCTGCTTTAGAATGGCCATGTGAATATTTTCCTCTCTCGTATATGCTGAGGTGAACATCACTTGCATTCTAGATGGTTGCTGCTATCATCATCCTTTTTCACACAGGGACATTATTTCAACCACGGCCTGCTGCACAAGCCTGTTTATGTGATATCAGCATCTTAAATGCTGATGTTTGTCTGTTGGTCTCAATGCTTTTTGAGACTAAAAAGGATAATAGCTTTCTGCTTGCATTAGGAGTTTACATTCAACGTTAGTTTTGACAATCTTTTTTTACACTTATGATGTTATGATGTTATACTTGTTGCAGTGATATGAACTTCAGTTCAGTTTAAGTCTACTTTTTTAAAATTCAAATTTGAAATGCAGTTCACCCTGTTGGCTACCTCAATTTAAATTCAGAAATGCAATTCAATCGTGAATGGTGCAACCATCCAAAATGGCCTAGCAACCACTAAGCAATAAGTAACCATTATAATGTCTTTTTAGCCAACATATTTACAGTAAATCTCCATTTTGGGCTTGAAAACAACAAAGCATCAGCTTTGAATTACATAGTTAATTTTGTTTAGCATAATCATCATAGATGGATGAAAGCAGGATGTTGATGGTTGTTGTGTCCTTCCATAGGGACCCAAAGGTGAGCTTGGAGAGAAAGGGGAAGCTGGCCCTCCTGGAGCTGCAGGACCCGCTGGTGCAAGAGGACCCCCTGGAGATGACGGTCCCAAAGGAAACCCAGTAAGTCACCATCAGTGACATTCCAGAAAGCACCCTTCAGCTATTACACTGAAATAATACTGAACTGATGATGACTGAATTGATCCATCATTTCTTTTGTAATTTAGGGTCCTATTGGCTTCCCTGGAGATCCAGGTCCTCCTGGTGAGCCCGGAGCAGGTGTAAGTTCACTATGGAGGCGAATTCATTCGCTTTGCGTCAGTAAAATAACTATTTCTGTGGGGAACAAATGCATTTTAAAATGCTGGAAGCAATAGAGCAAGGGGAAAAAGTGTGCAACACTTTTCCAAAGCACTTTATATATAAACATTTCAAAGAAATTCATGTAGTTTAGGTTTCCACTCAAACAACCTTTCTTTGCACACAGTGTTCAGCATATATTACAGGCTTCATTGCACATTGTTTAAAGAAAAACATTGCGTAAGGTGTAGAAGATCAATCAAATAAGTAATCAACAAGTTGTCAAAATAGTCGTTAGTTACAGGCTTAATGTCCAGCGTATTAAACAAATGTTGTGAGGAAACTATAATATGATGCTTGATGGAAATGAAATATTATGGTAATGTTGTGATGTAATGTCCTGTTTCACACAGGGACTGGATGGCCTTCCCGGAGACAAGGGAGATGATGGAGAGGCCGGTCAGCCTGTGAGTGATGGTCGACTTTTACTGAAAATCATATTTTATGTTCAAACATAATGAAACTTGCTAGTAATGCATTGAATTTTTACACCACAGGGTCCCCCTGGTCCATCTGGTGAAGCTGGTCCTCCAGGACCCCCTGGAAAGCGAGTGAGTACTTTACCAGGCATTTTGTTCATTTGGTTCAGTGTTGGATACGATACTTTAAAAGTGTTAAAGCTTTCCAAGTTAGAAGCTACTCATAATTTTAAAAAGTGTTTAACTACAGACAAGGTACCAATCTGAAAAGTTAGTTACATTGCAAGTTACTAATAAAAAGTAAGTTTAAGCTACTTAAAGGGACACTTTCTTATTCATAGTTATTTGTATTTTATTTGATTACATATTTAAAACAAAAATACAGAATATGCTTTTAAATTTAAATGCTCTGTACCAAGTCTCTGCTCAAATATTAGAAAATAATATTTAAAAAATAAATAAATACAAAATTCTAAAATTGGAAAAAGAGGTGATGTGTCTGGTGGTGATCTATTATTTCAGATGTGCTACAGGAGTACAACTGTGGACCGACAATTGTTGGGCAACTGGTTATATCTAGAAATGCACACATTTTAAAACATTTATTTTATGATGTGCCATGAAACAGGTACAATATGTTATGGACTTATGGTGATTCTAAAAGAAAATGTGCAGAGATCCGACTGTAGATATAGTTACAAACGTTTTTCCTTTTTTTGCATTTTTAATGTACATCTGAAAGAACCGCATGCTCTTGTATCAGCGTTATTGGACTGTTTGTTTCTAAAGAGTGAATAATTTGCCAGTCGGACATTGCAGTTCATATTTTAAGCAAATCGATGTAGCATTTCATGCCACTATGCTACTTGGTTGAAAAATTAAAAAATTCTACACTATTTTAAAAGTAGTATCTCTACTGTCAAGCTACTGAAAAGAAATCTAGTTAGTAGCATCATTGTAGTAAACTAACTTATTAAACCAACAGCTCAGACTTAGTGTTAGATATATGAACATCCGCACTGTAAGTACCAAATGTTTGGTGTGTAACACTTTTCGTTCTTTTAAAAAAACGTAAGAATGTACTTGTTTGCATTACCCCTTTGTTGTTCCTTCTATAATCTGCTGAGACACACATTTTCAAATAGGTTTATGAGCTTCCCTTGTAACTTCATGCTAAAAGTAGCCTATATTTTATGGGTCACATTTATTTTTAACAGATCTGAACTGCACAAACAATAAATCTTTAAAAGCAGAGCACAGTCAGGAGTTTACTGGGTCCTCCCTCAGTAAATTGCTCCCAAGTGAGTAAAGAGTGCATGCTTTGCTTGGGAAAAGGCATTCCTGTGAAATCTCAGCATAACATAAAACCTGTTTGGGAAAAAATGGGCTTCTCACATCAGTTTGCATTGCTTAAGAGCAGTTGAGCTGAGGCTGACATTTAGACAGTTCTATTATAGAATATTGACCAAAGTGGGTTGATTGACAGCACTGTGACGGCAATGTGATAGCCGAAAGGAAATGAAGTTGTCATTGTCAGCTCTGTTGCCGTCCTCAAGACTTTGCTTACAATTGATTACACTTTTAGCTCTAACACATCTTCTGATGTATTTAACACAGAAAACTTTTAATTTTCAGTAGCTGACTCATAACTTCAGAGAGAATTTCAGTTGCTTTCTAAAAGTGAGTTTTATTGCCATATATATTTCAGGAAAGAAATGAAGACTGTTTTCAATATGTGAACAAGTCAGGCTTTTAGTCTGAAAATTTCAATTTTCTCATATCAGCAGAGCTGTTAGTAGCAATAAAAATGCATTTCAGGGCTTTCCATTTTCACTCGCCTTACTTACAACTTTAAGTGGCCTCGGCCTTCTGTGTGTCTTGAATCTAAATGTGCACACCCATATTGATCATGGACTTCTGGGAAACATATTTCAAACTTGTGTTGTGTTCATTCCCACGCTGAGAAAACAATACCATCATTAAGTCTTTCACAAATTACTATTTGTCTGAATAATCATATTAATAGTGTTCACAAATGTGTGGATAGTAATGCTAAATACCTGGATGCCTGCCCAAGCCATTAGCTATTGCAATCTCTAATACCTTCGCTTCAAAAATAATAAACATCCTTAAAACATGATAGCAGAACCTCTGAGTCATAGACGTCATAACAGACATAAGAGGTATAAAAGTGTTTATATGTGGTTTCCGGAGTATGTTTTGGTTTCTGAGAGATATCGTGAACAAAAATGTTTTGTCATGTTGATAAAAAAAAGAAAGTACACTACCTTGTTGCCATGGTACTTTTGGATGCAATACTTTTTTAATTGTTGATGACTCTTTATAGATGTCTGCTGTAGAAGGTTTTGAGTTTTGTTTTTCTCTCTTCAAGGGTCCTGCTGGTCCAGCTGGTACAGAAGGCAGACAAGGAGAGAAGGGTGCAAAGGTAAGATAGTTTCCGTTATTTAACGGCACCTGAACAACCAAACAACATGATTGTCATTTGAATTGCAGCGTAAATCGTTTGTCCTCCTCTAAGCTTGATTTGTTATCTGTCCATGCTTTTGTCTGTTGAATCCAATCTCTCACAACACGTAGTGGTCCTGAATTTTAAAATCCTCATTGAAAGATCTGAGCATGAGAAAGCCTAATTGGATGCCACAACAAGTTAAGCTTATACTACAGGTTCAATCAGAGGAAGTGACAGGAAATCTATATTTTCCCCCTAAAAGCTTTTGTTCTTCAAAATGAATTGTTGATCCAGTTCATCTTATCACATTCACATAGATATAATAGTTGATTTTTTAGGACACTTGCATTGAAAAGGTCAGTTAAATGACCAAAAATGTTAGATATATGTAGAATGTCCTTTACAAATGTTTTTTCAAATCTATTTTATTTTCCTTTTTTTTTGTTTTTTTTTCAGTTTAATAAGTAGCTATTTTATGTCGGGTCCCATTCGCCCTGTCAGGGGATTTTTTTAT